TTGTAAGTCCGCCCAGCCAGACTGGAGATATACACAGACCTGCCAGACAACAGAGCCGAGCTGGTGACCTGAATTTTCTTTACTGCAGGTGAAGCAAAACAGTTCGGTCAGCTCCCCGCCTCTAGATTGTGATTGGACAGTGAAAGAGCAGCAGCAGACGGGTACTCCTATCACCACTGAATTGGTCCATAGTACTATACATGGCGGCTCTGGATAAACAGTTGGATACATCGCTCTATATTTAGGATGTATCTGGTCTATAAATGGCGGCTCTGGATGGACAGTTGGATACATCGCTCTATATTTAGGATGTATCTGGTCTATAAATGGCGGCTCTGGATGGACAGTTGGATAAATGGCTCTATATTTAGGATGTATCCGGTCTATAAATGGCGGCTCTGGATGGACAGTTGGATAAATGGTTCTATATTTAGGATGTATCTGGTCTATAAATGGCGGCTCTGGATGGACAGTTGGATAGAAGGCTCTATATTTAGGATGTATCCGGTCTATAAATGGCGGCTCTGGATGGACAGTTGGATAAATGGCTCTATATTTAGGATGTATCCGGTCTATAAATGGCGGCTCTGGATGGACAGTTGGATAAATGGCTCTATATTTAGGATGTATCCGGTCTATAAATGGCGGCTCTGGATGGACGGTTGGATAAATGGTTCTATATTTAGGATGTATCTGGTCTATAAATGGCGGCTCTGGATGGACAGTTGGATAGATGGCTCTATATTTAGGATGTATCCGGTCTATAAATGGCGGCTCTGGATGGACAGTTGGATAAATGGCTCTATATTTAGGATGTATCCGGTCTATAAATGGCGGCTCTGGATGGACGGTTGGATAAATGGTTCTATATTTAGGATGTATCCGGTCTATAAATGGCGGCTCTGGAGGGACAGTTGGATAAACGGCTCTATATTTAGGATGTATCCGGTCTATAAATGGCGGCTCTGGATGGATTGGATGGATTTGCATGGCTCCGCCCACTGTCCTGAGATCAGGAATAATTATCTAATTTCCGGGTCATGTGATATGATGAGACAGGTAAATCACTTTGATTCTACTATCGGTTTCCTCTGATATAACGGACGGTTGAACAAAGTGTAAAAATCGCCTTTTAACGTTTTTCGGCATTTTGTGTATTTTCTCTTTTGTTCCAGTTTTCGGTCGGGAGATGAAACTATAAAAATATCTCCTGCGCGGTGTATCTGAACCCAAGGAAGAAAATGTAATATATTGCTACAGTCCCTCAGTGTGGCGGCTGCATTCGTTTTCTTTTCTCAGGCTAACCACTATAGGAGGTACAGGGGCAGCTTGGCATAGCTACATGTAGGGATGTCCCAATGCTTTCTGAATACTGGGGAAGGGGCATGCTGGGGGAGAGCGACGCCGTCACTTCATGTGACGCTGCCACTCTGGCCAACATCCTGCCTAGCTCCTGGCAATCAGTGACAGCACTGGTTGCCAGGAGCTGGGTGGGACGCTGCCCAGGGCACCCCGGGTTACCAAGAGCTGGGTGGGGAGACGTGTATGGGCCTTACACATCTCCCCACCTGGCTCTTAGCATTCCAGGACGCTCTGGCCAGACAGGGGGCGGCAGGCACACTGCAAACATTGTGCAGCCCTGCCTTCCGCTCCCCCCACGTGACCCAAAGACCCCATTCACACTGAGCTACATTAAAAAAAAGCAAATTTTCAGCGCTGATTTGAGCTGAGCTACAGTGCACATTTTGTCACGCTACTTAGCGCTTCTTTTGGCAGTTTATCAAAGCCTGTTGGGGCCAAATCGCACAAAATCCGCTGGAAAAATAGGTCATGTCGAGCTACAAGCTACATGCAACATTGAAACGCTACATTGAGCGATATTTGAGCGACTTTTGAGTGAAAATCGCGCTACAAATCGCTCAGTGTGAATGGGGTCCCGGGTGTCGTGCGGTCCTGCACAATGCGGCCCCATTGATTTCAATGGGATAACATCCGCGCGGCAATCACAGAAAAAAAAAGTACCTTTTTTTTCCCGACACACGACTCGTGGCCGTTTTAGACGCGATCATGTTCAGGAGCACGGGCGGAATCGCGGCGACTGGGGTGCCGTTAGAAAATAATGGCACCCACAGCGCGAT